GAAAGAGATTCTACTACTTTTTAACACTAATGAAAAACTGAAATATAGAATAAAGTAAAAAACAACTAGAACTTAAGTACACAACTTATGGAGAAAAGAAAATTTCCAGCTACCTTTAAAGCATATGGATTTCCATCACTAACGTTCCGATAGAGCACCTGCACAGAGTCAGCATGTTATTTTATTTCTGCTGCCATCTAAACCTCCTAAGTCCTAAGCAAGGCAAAAAATTACCACTTTCCCGTAGCTTCCTCGATTAATCTCTTGCTCCTTGACATATTCATTGATCATCTTCTTCCCATTTAAATGCTACATATTTAACATCAAAACCTGGTTAGAATTCAAACATAACTTCAACTATAATTTTAATAGAACACAAAGCACTAAGAAGAATATAGTTTCTTGAAAACTACCTTGGTATATTTGACAGAAGTAGTTTCTTTAACAGTAATCTTCTTCCTTAGCATGCATGGAATTGGCAATTCTCTGTCTGAACCAGGAAAAGAAATTCTACATGATGATTTTTCATTGAGAAACACCTCTGCCTTTTCTTGAAAATTAGTTTTGGAGGTGATGAGTAACAAGGACTTCTCGGGATTGTGAGGGACTGGGAGAGAATTGCAGCAACTCATGTCCTCGCCATACTTGTAACACAGCACATTAGACATGGCTACTACTATTCTTCTTGGAAAAGCTTCAACTCTCAAAGTGATATAAGACAAAATGATCAAAACCAACTGAAAATTTCATTTCAGTGTACTTTATTCAACATCAAGAAATAGAAGGCAGGTTCCTGAAACTGCTTAAGAACTCTAGTCTTCATTCAACCAATGCAAAACTCCAAATTTTTATCTTTTGCTCTCAACCATTCATTCTAACATTGTCATAAGAGCTGTTCACTCAAAAGCAAAAGGTAAACGTCATGAAAAAGCAAAAAGGTCTGTGTCGGCAATAGTTTCCAGATTAGTGCCTTGACTGGTAGGTTTGAAGTTTGCTGTAATGTGATTATCATAGAACTCTCTACATAAGAACACATTGATAGGAGTATCAATTTATTGTTTGTAGTTACTTGAGGGAAAAGATGTTATTATACTACCACTAGATTCTTCCCAATTGTGTGTCTCACTCAGCTAGTTTACTCCCCAATATAACCACAACTTCTGCGTGTTTCTTCGATCATCCAAAATGTAGTGAAACTGTCATTGTCTAATAAAATAAAAATGAAATTAAGATCCACAGCAAACTTATGGGGATGTCGCTCAGATGGTAGAGTGCTCGCTTAGCATGCGAGACGTAAGGGGATCGATACCCCGCATCTCCATTTTTCGTATTTTTTTTCCTATATACGTCGCCAACTCCGTTCGAGCCGTTCCACATCTCTGAGATTGCCAAGGACCTCAATCTTGGTCCAGAACACTACTCTCTCTATGGCAAATAGAAAGGCAAGGTTTGGAATCCGGTGCAACTCTCCATTCTCCGGTCCAGCACTGCCATAGCAATCCCCGCCATTCCCTAGTGCAGAGAAAGCCCCAAATCGGGGAGAAGAGAAAATTGTCGAGAAGAGTCGGACAGGGTTTCTCACGGGAACGATGATTTCTGGAATTTTGCCAGGTTTGTCAATGATAATTTCTGGTTCTCTTGGGATAGATTTGAGTAGAAATAATATGGAGGGTCCATTACCATTACCAGCATTCCCTCATAATGCCACATTTATAAACCTCTCAAAAAAAAAAAAAAAGGTTTTGTGGTTCAATTTCTCAAGTCTAGGAATTGTGAATTTGGCTAATAATCAATTATTTGAGAAAATTCCAAGCTCTATTGGATCTTTGTACCAGCTTGAAACGTTTAATTTGCGTGACAACAGTTTCTCTGGAGAAATACCTTGGTCTTTAGGGAATTGCAGTGCCTTGCAATTTGTGGACTTGAGTTATAATAAATTCGCGGGAATAATACCGGCTTGGATTGGAGAAAGGCTAAGATCACTTGCTTTCCTTCTCCGGAGATCCAGTGATTTTGCCCTTGTAGTTATGCTGCTTGACAAATATTATGCTAATGGATCTCTCCAACAACAATCTAATCTGAAAGCATACCAAGGTGCATGCATAATCTGACTGCATTAACAAAAAAGGAAAGTTCAGTCAGTAAGCATGGTTTATTAATTATTGATGAGTATTTCTTTCATGCAAGAAGCTACGTTGACAAAGCATCTGTAATGTGGAAAGGAATGGAATGTGATTATGGGGATGGTAATCTCAAGAGTCCGAGGATCATCAATCTTTCAAGCAACAAATTTACGTGAGAAATTCCAGTCAAGATTTCGAGTCTCTCTGGACTGCATCAGCTGAACTTATCAAGAAATCATTTGACAGGAAGGATTCCTTCAGATATTGGGCAGATTAGATAGTTAGAATCACTTGACTTTCACAAAACCAGCTTTCAGGTCAGCTTCCTTGGAGCATGTCCCATTTAAATTTTCTCAACACTTTGAACCTGTCATATAACAACTTTTCTGGAAGAATCCCATTATCAACCCAAATGCAGACCTTTGATGCTTCTGGATTTGTTGATAATCCTGAACTCTGTGGGCTTCCTCTAAGACCAACTTGCTTAGAAGAAGAAAAATCAAAGAGCAAACCAACAGACTGTGGTGGCAAAGACAACAAAGAAGACAGAATAGAATTCTGGAAATCGTTTGAACTGGGTATGGAACTAGGAGCAATCATTGGTTTTGTGGGAGTTTGGCTGTGAAGTTAGATCATCCTTGGAAACATCTGTTGTTCAACAACATGAGAGTCTGCATCAGCAACTTGAAAGGCTGCCTTTATTCAATTGTAGCAACATTTGGTTTGCTGGTGACAGAGCATGTCTCCGGATTGTGAATAAAATTGAAGTTTTAAGGGCCATCAGTCTCTCCCTACAGCCTGGAGAAGTAGGTACACATTTATGCCAATCTTGTATAACAACTTTCATACTTCATTAAAAAGAATAACAGAGCAAATCACTTCTTATTATTGCTTTTTAGGTTCAAGGAGTTTCATCACCCCAAGGACTTATCTTGCAAAGTGAAATTCCAGTATTTATTTTCAGCTCCCACAGGATCCCTCATCAACAATTCCAACCTGTCCTCTTAATTTTATTTTATTATTATTTTTTCTTTTTTGAATTTAAAGGCCTGTTTAGATGGTTTGTTTGTCCTGTTTGTTTTTGTATCATCTAATTTGTAATAACTTCTTTGAAGCTGAGATACTCCGTTGGCTTTAGTTCAACTAAAGTTTGATGTCCTTAATATATGTTTCTATCACATTCTTCATTTTCTATTTTAATTGAACTCCCAATTTGCTTATTAAAGTTTTTCGAATTTAGACTAGGAGAGAAACATAACTCTAGTTTATAGTCAAATGCTCAAGAGATGTACTGTAGGACTAAAATCATCAGTTCTGATATGACTCTTTTTTTGTGTTTCTTCACAGAAATGGTGGAGGATTGGAGATTTATGTTGGCAATCAGGGTGATTTCTTTTCTCCCTTCCCCTGTTTCTTCATCTCTAGAAATCACAAAACTGGAAATCAGTTCTGTTTTATGTGACTAATTATATAATCTCATGGCTTTTCAACTTTTCTTCAGGTGTTTGAGTTAAAAGTGCTGCTGATTTACATCAAAGGTAAGGTCCTTTTTTTTTTTTTTTT